ATCATCTCTTTTACCCTCTGTCTGGTTAACCGGCTGTTCGCTTGTCTGTTTGTGCCTGATGTCTGTATTTCATTAGGCTTGTCACTAGACTACGCAAGGTATTAAGGCATGTTTTCGTGTAGCCGGGATTAGCGTTATGCGTGTTGTCTGTGTTCACTTTGCCTGAGACTATGAGACGGGTGGTTGTGTCTGTAGGTAAGTAGAATTTGTTAGAGCTGATGCGATTGCATAACCCTTGAACCAAAGTGTTTCTTAGGTCTGCGGCGTAGGATGCGATACTCAGAACCTATCCATTGAGATGCGACTGATGCTGTGAATGGGGCAGGATGTGGGATGGACATAATTCGGGAAAGTCAATGAAGTTGAGGCCGTGGGAGATTGCTGAAAATGAGGGACTGGGATGGCCAATTCTACAGCCGCCCTAGATGTACAAGGTGCGTGAGTGCATATTTGCATGTGTGCGTGTGTGAGAGAGAGAGTAAGTGTGACTGCGTACTTGCATGCTTGTAAATGTGTATGTGTGTGTGTGGATGAGTGGGTGGGTATGTACGTGAATTCGTGCCTGCTGGATTGTTTGCATGAGCATGTTCATATTTTAAGACATGGTAACGTAGGGCGGAAGGATCCCGGTCGGTGGCAGAAAGACCGAGAGAGGCGCCTGCTCACCTGAAGAGAGATAGTAGGGCACGTAGGCGAATGCTGTAGGATTTGCTTGTCGGGAGAGAGCAGAGGTTTGGGTCAAAGCGTAGTTGGCCGCCGGAGAGAGTTGACCCTGGAGAAAAGCTGAGGTTCATTAAGCCGAAGTGGCGAATGAGGAAAGGAAGGCATAAGAATGCAGAGTGGAACGCGAAGGGTCGACGAGACGAGAGGTAGAGGCGAAATCAAATGAGCGTAAAAGCAAAACAAGTCGGAGTAACAGATGCAAGAATGATAGAAGAGACGGAGAAGTTGGCAAAATGCATGTTTGAGATCGAGAGGAAATGAGACCAATGATGGGTAAGAATAGGGTATAAAATGAAGAAAAAGGAAAGAGAAAGACAAAAATAAAATGATAAAATGGAGGAAAGAGGGGTTAAAACGAGAATAAATTAGAATGATACTTTGGTACTGTTTAGAGGTGGTTAAAGTTAAAAGCAAAATTAAATTGAAGCAAGGAATTTATATGTTTTACCTAAGGGCCTGAAGAATGACCTATGCAAACTCAGAACTACTGAGACTCAGAGATTAGATCGTAGATGTGAAGAATAATCCCAACTTGTTGACGATGTCAGGAAGACCTCGAAGAACTTACCCAGTAATCAGCAGTGGGTCGTCAACCTAGTACAGCTCCATACCAACATGACGGCTAGCTTGACTAACTTGAGAGAAAGGTTGAGTTGAAGGAGAAAAGAAAAATATATTGAGTGCAGAGTTTCGAGACTACCAGTAATTCAGTTATATGAAATGTATTCACCCTATTTCGTTAAAGGCGATGAAGGACTGGTAGAAGAATTTTCCCACAATGATATGAGTAGAGCTGACGTTTCCGTTAAATTTCACATAAACTTACCTTCCTAAAAGATGTTCTCATTCATACAATTAATATATCTGATTA